ACTAAATAAGTAATAATTATATTTATTAATGAAGAATAATTTTATCATTATTATGGCTGTTCTTCCATTTTTTGAGTGACACATGTGCAGGGTCAATCCGATGTCTTATCCCCCTTGTGGCTCAGTGGTAAGAGCGCCTACCTTTAAACCTAAAGGTCGTGAGTTCGAATCTCACCTGGGTGGAAATTTTCGTTTATTAAAAAAATTAATAAATGAAAATAATTTCTATTATTTCTTATTATATTATTTCCAATACTTCTTCGTCCTTTTGGTGACTTATCTCGTGCTATTCGTACTATTCTATCCTCCGCCATTCTACTGATATGTTCGTTCTACTCCTGTTTTTGTTTTGTCACCCATTCATTTATGTCATCTATATTGCATGCTCTTTTTATGTTTTCGCTTCTCTCCCTATCCAATAGACTTTTTCCTGATATTCGTCGGAGTATTTTCATCTCTGTTGTTTCTAGCAGTCGTCTCGTTTTAGATGTGTCAGGTCTTGTCTCCGTCGTGTACATTAATATAGGCCTAATTGCTGCTTTATAGATTCTTGTTTTTGTTTCTTGTGTTAGGTGTTTGTTCTGTTAGATTGTATCATTAAGAGAACCTGTCGCTTTATTTGCATTTAAGCTCTGTTGTCGTAATTCTTCTTCAACATCTCCGTAACTAGTTATATCTATTCCCAAATATCTAAACCTTGCTTACTGCTTTATTGTTTTCCCATCAATTTCGATTTTACACCATAGTGGGTATTTAGATGTTATCATACATTTGGTTTCGTCTTCTGATATTATCATATTGTATTTCTTAGCTGTTGAATTAAAGATATGTGTTCACCTTTGGAGCTCGTCTTCTGTCTTGGCGATTAATGCGGCGTCGTCTGCATAACATAATATTTGTACTGCTTTGTTCCCCATTCTGTAGCAATGACCTTTACGTACTGCTTGTATTATTTCGTCCATTGTTACATTAAGGAGAAGTGGGCTCAACGGGTCACGCTGTCAGACTCCACTTTGTACTGGTATACTCTTTGTTAGTTTTCCATTTATCTTTGCCTGTATTCGATTTTGGAGGTAGATGTTTTCGATTTGTTGTATAATATTGATTGGTATGTTTCTTTTATACAGTAGGTGTAAGATATCTTCGACTTGGATGCGATCGAAAGCCTTTGTCGGGTCTATAAAATATAGATATGCTGGTTTATTGTACTAGATGGCCTTTTCTGTGATTTGTCTTAGTACAAATACGGCGTCTACGCAGGATTTTCCGGATCTAAATCTCTGTTGTTCATTTGATAAAGTTGTAAGTTTATTGATTTTATTGGTTAGGACTTTTGTAGTAAGCTTAAGTGCGGTGTTCAGTAGATTTATACCTCTATAATTGCTGGGCTCTTCTTTATCTCCTTTCTTGAAATATGCTATCATTATTCTGGTTCTTTATGCGTCTGGTATCTTGCAGTGCAATATTAGTTTTTGTATAAGTTTTGTCATCTCTAGGGTTATACTTTCTCCTCCCTATTTTAGAAGCTCGTTGGTTATTCCGTCTGGTCCTGGCGACTTTCTATTTTTGAGCGAATTTATGGCCATTTCTACTTCCTGAAAACTGATTTTATTGTATTGATTATTCCTTTAATATCTATTTGTTTATTTAGTTGATTATTACTTCCAAATTCCAAATTAATATATTATCTACTTTCTCTTGTTTTTTAAAGGTCATATCTGAAATTCCCAAATTACCTATTATATTTATTTTCTGTTCACTTTTTACTTTTTATAGTTTTTCGTACAACACGGAATTTTATTAAATGGCCAATGTTTTGCTAAGATTTGTTTGTCTTAACTTTTAGGGTGTAGGTAAATTAAATATCAAATCAGTTGTAAAAGTAACTATTATAGACCGAATAAATTATTTTGTAAGCTACACATTGTATTGGTGCAAACACCGGCACAATAATGGTTTTTCTCAGTTTCAAGGTGACCAAATTCTGCAATACACCCATCGGGTAGCTTTCGCATCTGTGTTCTGTTAACCTGTGGCGGGTATCATCCGACAAGCGAGAGCTGGCGGGTGAGCTGCGCGAAAATAGTACAGGAAGTCACAAATGGGTAGTTGCCGTATCAAAAATTTAGTTGGGATCGGAAAATTACGTTAATAAATATGTTCCGTAGTTGTGTAATTGCGTGTGTGATAAACTTATTTACCACGAAAACAAAATAAAAATAATATTTTAAATAAAACGTAGAAAAAATTTATTAATAATTTTATTTTCATAAAACGTAATTAATTCTCAAAGGGGAGGTATTTTTGTATGTATCGAGGACTGATGCAACTTGTATGTCTTAATGATTTCTAAACTAAACACAGAACACACGTTCTTTGTTTATTTTTCTAAGCCAGACGGTAAACTCAATTATTATTGGCCTTTTATCTTGTGATGTTATTGCTTACAATATCATATTTCGTTTCCCATTTATGAAAAATCCACCGGATTTAAATGTATAATTAAAGTGTCCAGCATATCTGTAGTAAATATATATATATATATATATATATATATATATATATATATATATATATATATATATATATATATATATATATTATATATATATATATTGGAGAAACAGATTTTAATTTTCATGTCATTTCTATTTTACATGTGTATAACCAAATGCGATAATGTAAATTTTAACATTAACAACTGTTATTTAATTTTTGAAATAATTAGCTTGTCGCTACAGATATACGTTGTATTATTAATAATAGTGAACTGTAAAGTACCAATTAACTGACCCGTTGTTTACTTATTATTTACTGGTATTTTTTGTTCTGTAAGTTTTTATTTATTTATTGATTATAATTTTATTGACTGTAACTTAAATTAAATTATTTAAATCTGAATTTATTTTGAAAATTAGTATTATAATTACCGGTTAATTGAGCTACACGTTCTTGTATCTTTTTTAAATCAACTAAGACTTTATCTGCATTAGTTTCTTCGGTTGTAAACCTAAAAACATTGAAAATTATTTCTCGTGCTTGAGATCCCAAAGCTTTTAATACACTTGCCATTTTAATAAATATAAATAATAGTATATTATAGGGTCACTCCAAATAAAAATGTGAATACTTGACAACACTGTCAGAAATCTAGCACTGATTACACGATGTGAACTCCTAGCCGACTGCAATAGAAATGAGCAATCCCTTCCACTTTTCAATTTGATCTACGCGCAACCCGCCAGCCCTCGCTTGTCGAATTATACAGTGACTCCAACAGGAGGGAGCGGACTGTTTTTGAAACGACTGATTAAAATAATAAAAACAAAATCTTACAAATTTTGTAATTTAAAAACAGTTTTTTTTTTGTTAAAACAAGAAATATAAGAGACCCAAAATAAAATCATAAAAACCGCTTTTATGACAGTAAAATGTTTTGTCGTAAAAAAGAAATCCATTTATTTTTAAACGCGAACTTTTCCACAAGCTTCTACAAAAGCTGTAAGAAAATTTACGTGATTGGGAATATGGTCTAATGGATCCATTCGGCTGCCAGACTATCAGGAATGGTCGAACATATCAAAAGTGGAATGTACGGCAGTTCGCGGCTCGTAAACACAAAAATTGCTTGGTTATTTTCTAGATTGTACGTGTTAAAACCCGTATTACCAGCTTTATATTCGTCGTTTTCTTTTGGATTGCCTTCCAAATGATACATGCACGGTACGATAGTATCGGAATTCACGACACTAAAAGTTTCAGCTGCTCTATCCTAACGTGGAGATAGTGTTATCGTGTATATAGAGCTGTGAAAACCGGTGAAATATAAGTAATCAAATGTGAAACTTATGCAAAAAAATTAGTATTAAAATTTAATCGAACATGTTAGTCTAGCTATTTTAAGTAACAATTGAATTATTATTATAAATAACGCTTTGAATCGATATTTCAATTAAAAGAAAACTAGTTTTTTAAAATATTATCTGAATATTTTAAAGTTAGACTATAAAAACTACTATAAATTTGTTGATTGCTTTAGTTCGCAACAATAACAACAATCCGTCGTCTTTATTTTTTTCTGATATAGATATTGCTTTATTTATAAGCGTTTCTTAACTCAAAGCCAGGAAAAAACGACAGTAATATTTTTGTAGATTTTTTACTTATTTCGATTGTGTTTAATATACTTCGATAAAAGAGTCGCTTATTTATAAAAGGCCTCTTGTCATAAAATGTAAATTTTGGAAAACAAGAAAAACCTGTTCAGTTGTATAAAAAACGATTTTATACTTTTCTGATTTTACAAAACATTTTAAGGACCTTAAAACTCAAAAATAAATCATGTTAATTACACTTTTTAAAATCAATATTGCATTTGTTTTTATTATTGAAAAATAGCTGACAAACCGCCTTTCATAAACAAAACTGTTGCTTTACGGGCAAAGTTTTGATTGGTGGATGAATTTACACCGTGTTTATTTATAATTAATATTACTTTATTAAAACAATTCTAAGACAATAAAATTAGCTACAATTAATTGTCATTTTATGCATTTTTGCTCATTTTTTGGTTGCAACTGTAGGCCATTAGGCAAGCTCATTGTAAAATTACTTGTGTTCTTGAGGAACATACTGCAAAAGTTTCTTCAGGTCATTAATTTGTTCTTGATGATATGGTACCTTTGATTCATGAGTTTTTCTTGCTAATGAGTAAGGGGAGGATGGCTCAGCAATAGACAGTGGATTAGATAACAATTTGAAGGTTTTGCTAATATATCCACGTATAAAATCAACCACAACAACCACTCCGTTTTTAAATCTTTCGCAAGTAAATTCGTGGTAGGAAAAAATAGTAAACATTCCTTTTTTTTCTCAATTTTATTTTCTTCTGAAACAGTATTTTTCTTGTAAAATTTGGGACAAATCACTTTGAAAGTCCAAAATGTTTGCATTTTTCAATAAACCCACAGTAAATCTCCTCTGTTTTAAAGATGAAAGTATTATTTCTGTATTTCTGTTATATCTTTCAAGGTGTAGAATCTATCATGTTTCACAAGGCCGAAGACCCTGTCACATGGCAAATAGGAGTGACCCCTTATTGGAAGTCTATAGACAACTTTTTTAAATCTTCCACTATCTGTAGGTTGCATTAACAACCTTATCATCGTATAATTTTTATTGTGTCCTGTACAGATGTCAGTGTATAAGTAAACTTCATCTACATTAGCTGGAACATTCTCGTCAATTGACTTCTTCAAGAAGAAACAAACTTCATTACTACCCTTTCCAGCAACTCCCTGGTGGTACAAATAAAATGTTGCAGGGTCTTTATTACTATTGTGTATGACAAACGGATAGACGCACAGTTGTCTAAGGTCGTATTTTTCCTGCACTTTAATCGTGGGAAGCGATATGTTTGCCATATAATCAAAACATAAAAGCATCGCCTTTTCTTGTTCGGCACAGTATTCTTTCCTCTGTCGAAGGGATGAATAAAACTTTTTGCTACGCCTCTTATGCACAAGTAGCTGCGCAACTGCAACTCGTTTTGCTGTTTCATTGAACTGAGGCTTTTTTATTGTAGTATTGAGCAGTTCACATTCACAACAAGTGTCAATTTGGGGCCTTCCAAATCTATAATTAAAATGTTCTTTGAAAAGTTTGTAGTAAAAACTATACTTCACGTTTAACTCGTTATATTTCTCTTGAAACAACTTAAAACATTTTTTTTGTGTCCAGCTTAGCATCTAGATATTTTCTTTCCTTAGAAGAATAGTGACTTGTTTTCAGTGGAAATGACTAAATGTGTTCTTTTACAAGATCAGTATAATCTTGTGCAAAGGTCTTCCAATTATTCTGTTAGCCTGTTAAATCTCTAGGAGACTTACCTTCTAATAATTAACTTCTTCAAGTAATCTGAGGTTACTATTGTGAAACTAAGCCAGGTTTTAAAACTGACTTCTATTTATCATCTTATTTCCTGTCTAAAATATTACATTATAAGATAATACGTAACTTACGACCATGGTAATCTTCACCACGACATCTAGCTTTCTTAATTCGATTAACCTTATATTCTCTATGGTAACGAACACTCCTTTTGTCCTTTTTCGCTTCTTGCTATCTGCTTCTATTTCAACGACACTTTCACTCTCTGACGTTATTTTTAATCACTTTAACAATAATCGAAGAGAAATATTTTGTTTAATTATTTAACAGTTGATTATAACATAAAACAACAAGAAGTTAATTATTAATCTCCAAACAGTGAATATCTGTCAACAATCAGCAGACCGAGCAATGTTGCCAACAGTGTTTTTGTTTATGAAAAGCCCCTTTTCATTGACACGAGGCTTTTCATAAATAAACAATAATTTTAAAATAATATATTACTATATTTTCGTAAGCAAACGATGTGCAAACATATGGGTTTTCATCCTAACACCCCAACCCATAAATATATTGCATTACCATCTTTATAAAACGAAATTTTAGACATGTTATTTCTAATTTGTTAGTATCTTTATTTGTATATTTGTGTGTACTTTTTTAACTAATAAATATTATGCTTTGATAAATATATCCTAGCAGTTTTTATTAACATCAATATTCTCATTTGGCTGTATGTCACTTGCCTATGCCATTAAAAAAAAATATTCTCATTTTTTATTATTGTTTTGTCATTTCTTTTTAATGTGAAAGCAGGTAGTAAATTAAATTTCTCTTACTCGTTGTATACTTTCATTATAACGTTATCAGCATGTCATTTTTTAAACACTACTATTGCTTTTTTCTTGGCATATTCATTTTTACCTTTTAGTAAATTACTTGTCACATACACTGCATATAAAAAAGGACAATATATCCCTTTGTCGCAATCCACTGGGAATGCTGCTGTACTTTTGTTATCGTTCTTTATTGTGCACATGATTGTGGTTTTTGTATTATTTTAGAGTAAGCAGTTAAATCCAACCTTTATGTAACAATGAATAATTTTTAAGTAACGGGGACAAATTATTTTGAGGAGTTCAAAACTGAAAATAGTAATCTTATGATGCTATACATTCTTCGTCTTATTATATATTGTAAAGTGTAGACCAGCGTCTTATGTATAGACCACTGAAAAAAATTATTAACGTTTGCTTCATACTCCAGTCGTCAGAGACCACTAAACCTCTAAAAATCACTTAAATTGAATTTTGCAGAAAAAGTCAATTTTAGGATAATAGAAAAGATGCAAAAAATGTTTACCACTTTTACCCACGGGTTTTCCTCTAAAACCCATCACGTAGAGCGGGAAAAATGAAAAAAAATCGATTTACCAACAATCTGTCCTCAATAAAGAAAATGTTTTAAATAAAAAATGTAGCGAAGTTGATTTTAAACAAAACCGGTTGCTAGTATTTTTTGTATAGAATAACCGTTCTCTCAGAAACAACGATTAAAGCGATATGCGATTTTGAATGTCAGTTACGCGCACGAAATCAATCTTTAATAAACTTTGTATTAGCTCGATGGTAAAAATTTAATATCTTTTGATCAGATCAAGTAAATGTTACATTTACTGTTTGTATTTTGAGAACGATTTCCGAAGTGGAAATTGAAACGTCAATAAACGTATTTTTATCTTTAATTGTGGCTTATTCCCAGTTAAATAGTAATTAATTTTCAATGCCACAAGAAAATAGCTTCAGAATTATATTTCTGTAGTCATTTTATTTTTTTTCCATTTCTTACTATACATTCTGCTGCGACTAAACTAAGCTGTGGGTAATTTTTTCTTTTACTTTTATGTAGATTCCAGGATCCCAATCTTAAATCTTAAATCATGCATAGTCTGCGAGTACAAAAAAAAGAAAGAATATTTTTGTTAACATTGTATGTGTAAAGAACGAGCGGCCAAACTGTACTTATTTTTTACTTTCCTACTAAAAATCAGTTCGTCGTTCTGTAGGTCATCAAAAGTCTTTTCAAAATAAAAAATATCTATACACCTTCCTTTTTAAAGCATAAACTGGTTACTTCCTTATTTCGACAGTATTTGCTATTATTTTGTTTACATTATTATTATTACCCAATACCTTTGGTGGTTCCAATCATCAAAAAGCAGCATCTTGAATAATTCACGGCACTGCTTTCTATTATATTCAATTCATATTCTGTTCTAATGTATTGTGTAATCCAAGAGGATTCTCCTCGAGAGCAGACTGCCTTAATCCCTCGCAGCCTCATCAGTTTCCCATCTCCTGTGGCATTATCACTACCCAATCCTAGCCGCTAATTACTAAGAACTTCTCAGCTTTGGGCCTTTTCGCTGACTTTCACAGTGGCGGGGAACAAAGGTTGTTACATTTTTTGTAAGACTTATTTTATATGTTAATCCATACTATTTCAATATGTAATTGTAATGGGCAATTTATATAAACAAAACATAAAAATTTTTTATGATATACAAGTATGTTTCGATTGCAGAAAAATATGCGAAGAAGTTATGCGATTGCAGTATAATAACCAAAATAGTTTAAACAATGCCTTTAATTCTTACAAAACATACAGCACTATCGTTCAGAAATGTGGAGTCTAGTTTGTGCAGTGTATATTGATGGTAATAAAATAATTAACAGAATAAGGACAGATATCTTAGTGTGTGTCGATACGTAGGCGCGTTAGAACCGTTTGAATAAACCGTGTACTAGCACTAGTTTTCCGCTGTCGTGTATCTGATTTTAGCGATCTTAATTTAGATTGCGATAGAAACCATTCACGCTGCCACTGACCATACACTTTTTGTTTAAAAAACGTTTTGAGATCTTTACATACACTCTCACGCACTAATTCCGATTCCGCACTTATTGCTGTATCACGGTCACTACTATCTGCCTCTTCATTGCCGATAATTCCTATATGCGATGGGATCCATATAAATTTAGGAGTTATAAGGATATAAATATGGGCGATTAGTTTTTATTAGTTGCTCTAACGGCTGTTTAGGATACAGATGCTGTATTGCAAGAAGAAAGCTGAGCGAGTCGGTGACAAATAGAGGTTTTGAAATTCTTGAGAGGTTTACATGTTTTAGGGCACGCTACAAAGCAAACAGTTCAGCAGTGAAAACACTTGAGGTAGGTAGTTTAAATTTGAAAGTAGACGTTGGAGTAACAAATGTACAACTTGCCCTCATTAGATTTAGAGGCATCGGTAAAGATGTTTGTGTAGTTGAGGTAGTCTCGTTCAAGAATCTCATTAAGTTTGTTTTTGATTAGTATGTTGTTATTGCATTTTTTGGAGAACTCTATGAGAGAATGTTGCAATTTGGAATGCTTATTGACCATGGAGTCGGATGTAGGATAAAACACTGAAATACATCTGAGATTGTTGTGTCAAAATTATTCAGAATTGATCTTACTCGTATGTAATAAGGTTTATCAGTACGAGGTTTATTAAAGAGAAAGTCAAGGTTATTTTTAGAAAAGGTATTTTCGAAGAGAGGATGATCGGTATTAGTAGCTTCAGAAGAAGCATATAAAAGTGTTAAAACTACCCGACTATACCGCAATGATGGTTCTTCAGTTTCGGAATATAAGCTTTCTATGGGCGAAGTGTGAAAAGCTCCGAGAACGATCCGAAGTGAGGCATTGTGGATTTTACCTAACAGTTTAAGGGGACTCTTGGTTGCGGAGGTATAAACAATTACACCGTAAACGAGTTTGGATATAATTAGTGTTTTATAAAGGGAGAGTAGCGTAGAGAAATCGGAACCCCAGAAACGATTTGATTCGGTTTTAAGCAAATTGAGTCTTTTGTTGCATGTTAGCGCCAAATGTTGTATGTGCTTTTTCCAGGAAAGTTTTTGATCCAACCACATACGAAGGAATTTCACGAAGTATTGGAAGAGAATGATGCTGTTGTAGAGATAAAGAACTGGTGCAATGGATGATTTTTTCGTAAACACCATACCAGTTGTCTTTGTAACGGAGATTTCGAAGCCCGTACTTAAAACTTTATTCCTAATATAAATTAGGCATTAGCTCTATATCGGCATATATAGCAATTTTAAACGTGCATTGGTCAGAACTTTCATTGTTTTAAGTGCAAATATGAAATAGTATTGATATAAAGATTTTTTGTCTAGAGTTTTCTTAATGTGCATTAAAAAAGTTAAAATTTGGGATTCTCCATGAGACTTTTGGAATACGTTTGTCTTAGGATTATAGGTGTACTTAAAAAAATAATTTAAATTTGGCAGTTAAAATATCATGAGAATTGTTTTAATGCATGGTTTTGAGCACTACGTAAAGCTCAGCAGAGAAAATGGTAAAAGTAAAGATGTATGGCTAGTAATATAAAGCTCTGAATGACTAGTAGTATTTTTGCTAAGTGGAGTTGATCTAATATTTACGTTTGGAATTATAATTACGCAAAAACGGTTTATTATCAACAGGAAACATTGAAAACTGTATAATATAAGATTAGGTTAAAATGGTAACTGTATTTATTCTAATTATTAATAAAATATTGTTTTCTTTTCAGGTAAGTATTTTCTCCAAATTATTGGTAAGTTTTTCATTCCTATAATTTAAACTTTAAGACAAACGTTCCATTTGATACTGTAATGAGTTTTATAGAAAATAATAATTAAATCATTTATAAAATGAAAGAACAAAAATGATTTTCTATTATTTTAAATACAACCTTTTATTGATTACGTACCCACTCAATGATTCTTTATTCCCTATTTTTAAATAATTTATATTAATATAGCGACTCTTTTTGTTTATTAATTTCTTTATCCTTAAAATCAAAATTATTAACGCTAAAATTCTACTTTTTAATTTCTGTCTTGTCTACTAACTTTTCGATGCCACTAGTATCTGAAAATTAATAATTAAAATTAATAAATGTTTAAATATCTCGTTCTGAAGAGACCAGGCCTTTTTCGTTATCAACCATTCAGCTATATTATATCCAGCTTATAATCAGAAACAAGATCTTTCCGATCTAAATGTCGTTTTACGGTAACTTGGGTCACGTATAATGGGACAAAAAGCTTTGCCATTCCATCAGACTCAATCTCAAAGGTAGTACAGCACTCGTCATCACTAGGTCCATTTCATGAAGGGATTAGATTTGCCATTCCATCAGGATCAATCTACTAGCAGCAAGTTTTTATCCAGTAGCCTGATAGAAATATTAACAAATATTGGAAAAATTACCGGTGATCTAAGGACTTTTGTCAATGTTTACTGGAATCAAAACATCGTCTGTTCGTATAGAGACAAGGAAATCTGATGAAATCAAAACTAAACGGTTCATCAGTATGTCTATTATAACCCCTGCTTCTCAACATATATTTTGAGGACATCTGTTAAGAAGCAGTAAAGGATTTTGAAGCAGGAATTTGAATTATCAGAGAATGTATTATTAACATCAGTTACAATTTGAACAATAGACCTCGTGTATTTAAAAGCGGAGGAGCTGGATTTGCATATACTCCGCTTAATTTTTGAACAATAGTTCTGATATTCTTTTGTAAATAAGGATCTCTTGCGCTGGTTAGCATGTTATCTTTTGTCAAGGGTAAGTCAATTGAGTTCAGAAACAATCTTCGTTTTGAAACTAGGTCGTTTTCATTTGCTGTTTTCGTTTCATTAGCCATCTTTGAGTGTTTCTACCTACATTTTAAGCCGCATATAATTTTATAAAAAGTAATAATATTGGAATCATGAATGTGTTGCTTGTGTGAGT